AGTCACTTAATAGTCCTAGAACAAGTCCAAGACCTCCGTAAACATTCTTAGGTGGTGCCTCTAAATTGTCTTTTCTAAACTAACTATCCTTTAGCCATTTCTCGTAACATGTAGCTTTCAGACCCTTTCCCATCTTGGTTTCCCTCTTTTAGACAAGGCCAAATTTGTTGTCGCCCTTAACTGAACACAGAATTTAGAAGTAATCTGGCTAGCGTATCCCAAGGTAGGCCTGTCTTCTCTTCAGCTGAGCTTTTTTGGGAAACCAGATCACCTAGTGATACAAATAGAGCTTGCTCTTTTTGCCTTATGTTTATTTTCTAGATGAAAAAATAAGTGCATAGTAGTTCAACACAGCAAGCTTATCATGCAGTTTAACCTCCACTCCCTCCTATAACCCTGTTAAAATGATACTAAAAGGGGTTAGAGATAATCAGCAATTGAGAGAGCAAGAGAATGTTGAAGCCAGAAGGTACGTGTGATGGACTTTGTGGGCTAGCAGAACTGAAAGCTAAGTGCCTGCTAGGGGAAGAAACTAAGAAGAAAGAGGATTTGTGTTGCAGAGCCCTGGAATTAGAGACCTGAAATACTGAAAACAGTACGATTAGTTGAAAGCCTGTGTGAAAAGCAATTAGATGCCTACACCACCACCACCACCACCACCACCACCACCACCACCACTCACTCTCTCAGGAGACAGAAGTTTTAGTCTTGGATATTGAACCAGAGGCTCCAAATTCAGGCATACCAAGCATAGAGTAAGGAACAGAGTGTGAAGCAAAACTCTCAAAGAGTTTTCAGGGAAAGTTCTAAATAACGAATGGTAGGGCCATTCCCCTTCTTCATCTGGTTTCCAGAATATCTTCAGCCGGGCACTGCCATGCAAGAGATCGGAAGATCATTTTCTGATAAAATTATCCCCAGAGAAAAAGTCCTAAAGGTACTACTTTTAGGGGTCTTCAATAAAATGACAGATCCTTGCCTGATCACACTAACAGGAAGTACATAAGTTGACAAACAGTCCACACACAGAGAGCTTTCAAACAGCTTTTTTAAGTACCTGACTCTTAAGTGTGAACAGGTAGCCAAGTGTCACCAAACATTTAAAGACAGCCTCTAACATAAAAGGCAGAAGCCAAAACAAATGGGGAGAAATGAACTCAGGAAAACAGTAAAAGCAGGGAGAAGAAGCGGGGACAGAAAGTTTTTTTTAAACTATGTAATATCTTGGGAGAGATTAAAGAAAATGCTGCATTCATGAAAGGTGAACACGATTCTCTTAAAAAGAAAAAGGAAACTTCAGAAAACAAGAAAGACCTCTTGGAAATTAAAAATATGTTAAGCAGTATAAAAAACTACAACATAGAAAGGTTGGAAGATAAAGTTGAAGGAATTTCATAGAAGGTAGACCAAAAGAAGAAGGTGGAAGATAGGGGAGAACAGATGAGAAAATTAGAAGATCGTCCCAAGAAGTCCAATACCTGGCTAATAGAAATTTAGGAAAAGAGAGAGTAAACCTGCTGCTATTGGATCAATTCCGACTCATAGCAACCCCATACGACAGAGTAAAACTGCCCCATAGTGTTCCTAAGGCTGTGAATCTTTACGGAAGCAGACTGCCACATCTTTCTCCCTCAGAGCAGCTGGTGGGTTCAAAACACTGAGCTTTTGGTTAGCAGCCAAGCATTTTAACCAGTGTGCCACCAGGCTCCTGAGAGAGAGAATTAAAAAAAAAAACAAAAAAAAAAACTGTTGCCATTGAGTCAATTCCAACTCATAGCAACCCTGTAGGACAGAGTAGAACTGCCCCATAGGATTTCCAAGGAGCAGCTGGTAGATTCAAACTGCCATCCTTTTGGTTAGTACCCGAGCTCTTAACCACTGCACCACCAGCACTCAGAGAGAGAGAATAGAGGGGAGGAAATTATCATGAAAATAGTATGAAAAGGTTTTCCCAGAACTGAAATAATTTTAGAGATTGAAAAGACACCTGAATGTCCAGCACAATGAATGAAAAAAAAACAGTACCACCATAAAGCATTGTGAAATTTCAGAACTCCAAGAATAAAGAGAAAATACTGAAAGGTTCTAGAGAAAATAATGGTCACATACTAATGGTTAGTATTAAAAATTACATTAGATTTCTCAGGAGCAACAAACTAGAAGATAATGGAGCAATACCTTCAAAATTTTGACACACAAAAAAATTCCAACTTCCCAGATAAACTATCATGCAAGTTTGAGGGTAGTAAAGACATTTTCAGACATAGTGTGCATGTACCTGTTCTCAGGAAGCTCTACTAGAAGAGAGTTTCCACCAGAACAAGGGAATGAATAAAAAAGAGGACTAAATGGGATCCAGTAAACAGGGATTCCAGTATAGATGATGTAAAGGGAGTTCCCAGAAGGACAAAATTTCAGTAGGGGTATCTCAAGAAACAAACAAACAGCTGATAGAGCACCTGACTGAGCATATGAAAAGGAGTTTACACTTCTTTATTGCCTTCAGGGAAAATAAAAATCATACAAAAAAGGCTACAACATAGTTTGGCTGTGAATAATACTCACATAGACCTAATAATGCAACTCTTCATATTGATTTAACTAAAAATTGACATAATTATATTGGAAAGATAGAGGAAGTAAGTAGAGTAGTATGTGAAGGGGATGTCAGCACAAAATCTTAATCTTCTATAATAAGAATTAGATTAGTAATGTAGTAGTTATCTTTTGTTACATAATAAATTACCCCTAAATTTAGTTGCTTTAAACAACGTTTATTTATTATCTCACAGTTCCTGTGGGTCAGGGAGTCAGAAGCAGCTTAGCTGGGTATTTCTGACTCAGGTTTCTCATGAGGTTGCAGTCCAGATGTCTGTTCCTGCTGCTGTCGTTGAAAGATTTGACTGGGGCTGAAGTATCTGCTTCCAGGATCAGTTATAATAGTTGTAGGAGGAGGCATCAGCTCCAGGCCACATGGACCTCTCTTCAGGATATGATATCGGCCTTTTCCTGCCAGAGCAGGTGGTCCAGGAGAGCGAATAAGAGGACTTTGCAATGCCTTTTATGACCTAGCCTTGGACGTGATATACCATCCCTTCTGCTGTATTCTGTTGGTTAACAGACCAGCCCTGATACACTGTGGAAGGGAACTATACCTGTTGCTGCTGAGTCAATTCTGACTCATAGCAGCTCTATGGGACAGAGTAGAACTGCCCCATAGGGTTTCCAACGCTATAATCTTTATGGGAGCAGACTGCCACATCTTTCTTCCACAGAGCAGCTAGTGGGTTTGAACCACCAACCTTTCAGTTAGTAGCCAAGCGCTTAACCACTGTGCCACCAGCGCTCCTTTGGAGGGGACTATACCCTACTGCCATTGAGTCAGTTCTAACTCATAGTGACCTAATAGGGTTTCTAAGGCTGTAAATCTCAACAGAAGCAGACTGCCACATACGTCTCCTATGGAACTGCTGGTGGTTTCGAGCCGCCGACCTTTAGGTTAGCAGTCAATCACTTTAGTCACTGTGCCACCAAGGCTCCTTGGAGGGGATTATACAAGGATGTAAATACCAAGAGGCAGGGATCATTGGGGGGTTATCTTGGAGGCTGGCTACCACCGGTAGTGAAAATTCAAGAGACAATATATAGGCATATCATTGAGAAGTGTGGAGATAAACACCAAAAAGAAATGCCTAAGAGTTGAAAGAAGTTGCTCATGGCAGCAGAATCGGGTGTGATAGGGAACCAGAGACTGCTGGTTTTCATCATAAGCCTTATTAGAACAACTTTAAGAACTATGTAAATGTATTCTATTGATTTTTTTTTAAAAATTATGGAAAACTCCCAAAATACAGCCATTTAATGTCTCCAACTTCTGGAGTAGAGCAACACCTGGATTATAAGAGGAACTAAAAGAATCTGAATCTGATAATGATTTCTTGGCATTTGGAAGATAGTGTGTAAGTACATGTGTGTGATCTTGAAGGACTGTTTACAGATTATAAACCTGAAATTCAGGTTTATGAAAAAGAGGACACAGTGAGAGAACCTGAGCTAGAATCCTTGAATAAATGTGACATGAAGAAACAAACACCACGTAGTGAGATACCCTGGCATTTCACTAATATGGAACCTGGAGGGAGGAGAGAAAAATTATCATTTAGCTCTTTCTGAGGAGTGGAAAAGTTCTTAAGTAGAAATGTTTATGTAGCTTGGAGCTATAAATGGCAGTGCTTATTAAAGGGAAAATGCTTTGACAGATAGTTAGAAAACACTTTATAGAACTCCTAAGGCAAAGGGTGTGACTGTGAGGGTTTGCTAGAAATTGAAGAGAGAGTCTGCCTGTGCCCCTGCAAGAGCCATGGACCTGAGCCCTGCAGGCCATGCAGAGCACCGGCCAGGGCTGCTGCAGGGCACTTTTCCCAGGAGGAGCTCTGGGCCTCTTGTTGTCTACCACAGCCCTCATCGTGCCCAAGGACCCCTCAACATTCCACCCCTTGATGCCTATTCTGTCCTCGATGCCTGAGCATGCCCCTTCTTCAAGTCTGGTCTCATTTCTCCTCATCTCTTTCTGCCACTAGGTATTTACTCTTCTTGAGGAATGTACTGTTAGGAGCTCCAGGGTTCTTGGACAGATTTTTTTGCCCATTCCGTATGCCTTCTAATAAAACTGGGGTTGGGATATTGTGTTAAAGGAATCAGGTATTTGAGTTGGTTGCGGAGTTGGGAGGGATGCCGTAGAGACTGCCATATAAGTAAAAACTACCACGTGAAGCATTCAGGCTTACATTTTTAAACCGTTTTAATACCCCATTCTTCTGCTATGCCTGAGTATATTGAATTTTAAATAATTCACTGTCACCATGATGAGCCTTGGCTCTCCTGCACTGGATGCCTCTGGTGCCATTACAGTGGGCAGAGGGGTAAACTGTGGAAGGGGCAGGTTGGATTTTGGTTATTTGCAATCCTCAGTGTCTCTTTTTATTTTACTTTACCCACAGATTGGGGACCACAAATTCAGTGCTCACCGGATCGTCTTAGCAGCCTCGATCCCGTACTTCCACGCTATGTTTACAAATGACATGATGGAGTGCAAGCAGGATGAGATTGTAATGCAAGGAATGGACCCAAGGTACTAAATCCTCCCATTAGGTTTCACAGGCTGCTTTCCCAACACAGCCTCAGCTTGGTGCTTGGTGCCATTTGAGGACTCACAGCAGGACACAGTGCCTAGCACAGTGGCATATACATAGTAAGTGATACGTAGACAAGTTAGAACCTTCGCCAGAGGCCTGAGACAGGGCTAAAATGAAGGGAATTTTGATGCTGTTTTTACTCTACTACTGGAGTAACACTTGTAATGAGAACTGGGGTCTGAGATGCTTTTTAAACTGGATGCTGTGTACAAAAAAAACCAAACCCGTTGCCGTTGAGTTGATTCCAACTCATAGGGACTCTATAGGACAGAATAGAACTGCCCCATAGTTTCCAAGGAGCAGCTGGTGGATTTGAACTGCTTACCTTTTGGCTAGCAGCTGTGCTTTTTCCCACTACACCACCAGGGCTCCAGTGCTGGATACAAGGTGATATATTATTTTCTGTGCTAGACATTTTCGCTGGCAAAATAGTTCACAAGTATCTTCATTTGCTACCCTCTCAACTTTCTACAGTGGTTGAAATGTTCTATTTTGCACTGCCCAAAATGGTAGCTAGTAGCTACATGTGGCTATTGAGCATTTGAAATATGACTGGTGGGGCCGAGGAGCTGAATTTTAAATTTTATTTAATTTAAATTTAATTTGAAATAGCCACATGTGGTTGGTGGCTACTGTATTATACCACACTGTCTAGAAGATGGTGGATATCATGTTTGTTTTATGAGTCAGAAAATTAAAGCCCAAGAAGGTCAAGCCCAAGTTTATCCCTTAGTCAGTAACTTGTCATTTGTTGCTTAACTTCTTAATCTGATAGTGGTAGAAACTGAGGGGGAAGGAGCTAGGAGACTGTACAGCACACTCTGAATGCTTGAAGGTGATCTGCCCCAATATGTGGAGAAAGGGAATTATATATCCACCATAAGACAGAAATCTCAGGTAGTTATAAAGAAAGATACAGAAGTGAGTCCGGCAGTTGTGAACTCTTCTTCTCTGAGGTTCTGTATCAGAAGGAGCTGTCTATCTTAGTTATCTAGTGTTGCTGTAACAGAAATACCACAAGGTGGCTTTTAAAAACAGAAATTTATTTTCTCACAGTTTGGGAAGCTAGAAGTCTGAATTTAAGGTGCTAGCTCTAGGGGAAGGCTTTCTCTCTCTGTTGGCTCTGGAGGAAGGGCCCGTCTCTTTGAGCTTCTGCTCCTGGGCAACCTTCGTGTGTCTTGGCACCTCTCTTCCCATCCCTGCTTCTCTCACTCACTTGTTTAATCTCTTATATCTCAAAAGAGATTGACTTAAGACACACCTTTCACTAAGCCTGTCTCATTAACATAGCAAAGACAAACCATTCCCAAATGGGATTATAACCACAGGCATAAAGAGAGCTTAGGATTTACAACACATATTTTTAGGGGACACAATTCAACCCATAATACGTGCTAATGACCATGCACACTCCAGGTGCTTCATTTAACAGAGATTGAGCACTTCTGATGTGCACTGTGCTAGGCACTGTTGTATAGCAGTGAGCAGACAGAAGGCAGTGCTTCTGTAAAGGACAACTGTGGTAACTACCATAGCATAGACAATCCTGCAACAATAGAATCAACAAACAGTAATCTATGAATTGATACATAGATATGCAGAGAGGTGGGGGGAGGGGTGGTAAGGGAACACACCCCCAGCAGATACAGGTTCGAAGGTGGAAATTCCTAAATACATGACTAGGTGCTTCTCATATATTAATATAGACAGTAGAGCACACAAGTGGCACAGTCAGGGAACCCTCTTAGACATAACTAAACACCTCATGGGATGAAGTTCCCAGGCTCAAAGGCAAAGGACCATGGACTTGGGGGACATCTACATCAATTGGCACAACATAGTTCTTAAAGACAATGTTCTGCATCCTACTTTGGTGAGTAGTGCCTGGGGTCTTAAAAGCTTGCAAGTGGCCATCTAAGATACAACTATCATCAGTCTCTTCTAGTCTGGAGCAAAGGAGAGGGAAAAATACTAAAGACCCAAGGGAGCAATTAGTCCAAAGGACTAATGGACCATATGCACCACAGCTTACATAACCCGGAGACCAGAAGAATTAGATGGTACCCAGCCACCACTACCAACTGCTTTGACTGAGATTACAATAGACAGTCTTAGACAGTGCAAGAGAAAACTGTAGAACAAATGATCAAATTCCTTAAAAAGACCAGACTTACTGGTCTGACAGAGACTGGATGAACCCCCAAGACTATGGCCCTTGGACACCCTTGTAACTCACACTTAAAGCCACTCCCAAAGTTCACCTTTCAGCCAAAGATTAGGCAGGCCTATAAGACAAACAGTAACACGTGAGGAATGTACTTCTTAGCTCAATCAGGTGTACGAGATCAAATGTGCAACACCTGCCCAGGAACATAGCCAAGTGGGCGAGAGGGGACAGGAAAACTAGATGAATGGACACGGTGAACCTAGGGTGGAAAAGGAAAGGGGGAGAGTGCTGACACAATGCAGGACTGTAGCCAATGCCATGAAACAATTTCTGTATAAATTTTTGAATGAGGAACTAATTTGCTTTGTAAACTTTCACCTAAATCACAATTTAAAAATAAATAAAATCATTTTGATGGGGAAAAAAAGCAGTGCTTCTCCTTGTGCCGGCATTCTAGTGGTAGGGATCCAGCAATAAACACACACGTGTGTGTATGTCTAGGAGTGAAAGTGATGCAAGAAAAGTAAAGCAAAGGCTAGCGAATGATGGTGGGGGTCTGTGCTATTTCAGGGTGATCAGGGAAGCCCCCTCTGGTGAGGTGACATTTGAGCCGAGACTTTAACTGAAGTGAGGGGGTGAGCCACTTGGGGGAAGAGCCCTGCAAACAGGGAGCAGCCAATGCAAAGGCCCTGAGGTGAGAGTGTGTTCAGCATGTTGGCATAGAGTGAGGGAGAGAAAGAGATGATGATGAGGCTGGAGTGATGGAGAGAGATGAGACCACATGCAGCCTCATAGAAGGAATTTACGTTTTATGCTGAGTGTGAATTGGAAGCCTGAAAAAATGCTAGAAGTCTCATTCTGGAAATTTATCCCAAAGAAATAACAATCCAAAAACATTATTTATAATGGCACTAAGATGGTAATAGCTGTTGTGCCTACTAGTAAAGGAAATAAGTTACACCATGTTTACACGTTGAAATATTATATAGCAGCCACTAAAAATGATAAACCTGAAGACATTGTAGAAACATGGAAAAAGACTAGATAGTATTGTATGATTATATCTGTACAGGTTATGTGTGCAGGCGAATGGACTGAAAGGGAACCTAGAAAAATGACCACCATTTTAGTTAGTTATCAAGTAGTTTGTGGGAGATGGCTTTTTCTTTTTAGAATCTCCTGTAGTAAAATTATTTGGGCAGTAAGGATATCTTAAGAAGTAGAATGAGTCTTTGGCTGTGATGAAGTGGTTATTCTATTCAGGTAGAATCTCAAACGGCAGGGGCTAAATGGTTTTTAAAGTGAGGCCCATCTATTCCCCAGGCAGTAATGTCAGCTCAGTTAGGGTCTGGGTCTACTGTGGGCAAAGACCTATCTCTGAAGAACATCTCACGCTTTCCCTCTTTCCTCTAGTGCCCTGGAAGCTCTGATCAACTTTGCCTACAACGGCCACCTTGCCATTGACCAGCAAAATGTCCAGTCATTGCTCATGGGGGCGAGCTTCCTGCAGCTGCAGAGCATCAAAGACGCCTGCTGCACATTCCTGCGAGAACGGTGAGGCGATGTGGGGGCCCTGGCCCATGGCAGGGAACGTGACCATTTCATTCCTGGAATCCCCTGCCAAAGTTTGCTAAGTCCTTGGGCATATAGATTTTATGAAAGGAGTGAACTGAGAAGGTTACTCTGCAGAGATGACATTTCTTAAAATCAGTATCAAACAGTGCCCACTTTTTGGCTTGAACCTCTGTAGAGTATGATTTACATATAGTCCTGTGTACTCTCTCCCTTGGCCCGACAATGTACGTCTTCTCTGGTCCTCTCTCTCCAGCCTCACCAGCCACTAATTTAGCTCACTGTTCTCACCAAACCAGTTTATTCAGTGCTCCCTAACTGTTCCACAGCTGTCTCCGTCTTTGTTTAGAACCTTCACCCTCATTGAAGTTCTTGACCTTCCTTTTTACCTCAGTTCTTTAAGAGCCAACTCAGATTTCACCTCCTAGAAATCTCTATTCCCCTCACTTCCCTGGGAGCAATCCTTGTACAGCTGGTAAGCTCTTTAAGGGTAGGAACCAAATAAAACCTGTTGCCATTGAGTCGATTACGACTCATAGCGGCCCTATAGGACAGAGTAGAACTGCCCCATAGGGTTTCCAAGGCTGTAATGTTTACAGAAGCATACTGCTACTTCTTTCTCCCATGGAGTGGCTGGTGGTTTACACCTTGTGCTTAGCAGCCAATTGTTTAACCACTGGGCCACCAGGGCTCCTTATAGGACCAAATACCCCCACGTATTTGGAGTGTGGTAAGTTCTTCTATGACCTTTTGGTGACTTGCGCAATTAAGAAGGCTATTCTTCCTCCTGAAGAGGCAGAGCCCTTAGTCATAAGGTAGAGGCCTTTTAACCACTAGAGTCTTGCAGGGGTGAAGGTTAGTGCTGGGTCAAACACAGGCAAAGAGGAACAAGAACAGCACCTCTACCTCCACAGCACGCTTCCAGGGCCAGCCTCCACCTGAGCCTACTCTGATCAACTGGTCCCTGACCTGACAACCAGCATTCCTCCCACCTCAGATCTGCCATCCTAAACCTCATCCCCTCTAGAGCTGACCCCCCCAACCCCAAACCCCGCCATTAGTCTCACTCCCCAAGCAGCGCTGTGAGCCCTGCCTGCTGTCCACACCTGCCCTCATGGTGCTCCTGTGCATTGCTGAGCACAGCCATGTGTGCAGCCAATCAAAATGACTAAGGTAATGATGGCTAGAATGCAGGGAACACTCGTCTGCTGGGTGCTAGCTGAGTTGTTTTTGGTGTGGTAGGTGGTATTATTCCCGGTTTTACAGATAGAGACTATATGGTGAGAGTAGGGCCGCAGAACTAAACTATGTTCCTGCCCCAGGATGCCTTTGGGGATGGGCTGAGGGATGCATGTGGGCATGTGTGTGAGCACACACTGCCTTTCCTACTCATTTGTGAGTGTCTGAAGGACCCAGACTGGACCCTGTTCTTGTCTGTGTCCCCACAGAGCCTAGAGAAGGGCCTTCTGATGAAGTAACTAAAACTAAACCAAACCAGTTGCCATTGAGTCCATTCTGACGACCCCATGTGTGTCAGAGTAGAACTGTGCCCAGCAGGGTTTTCAATGGCTGATTTTTTTGGAAGTAGGTCACCAGGCCTTTCTTCTGAGATTCCTCTGGGTGAACTCCACTGCAAACCTTTTGGTTAACAGCCAAGTACATTAACTTTTTGTGCCACCCCCCTTCTTGTGTGTCCTTGAAGATGAGCATGTGGACCCTTCAGTTTCAAGATTCGATAGCTAAAGGTTTGATTGTGGATGACTTGAGGAAAATCATTCTCAGGAACTAAAGCAGTGGTGGAAAAGACAGGGCATAACAGAGTACAGAGAAGCTGCAAAGGCATCAGCATTCTTAGAGCAGTTGTTTCTCAGGCCACTCTGCCCATTAGATCTTCAGCTTGCTGTTTTTTTTTCAACCTGAGGCTGGTGTTAATTTTTCCTCGTGGCCCTTTTCCCAGCGTTTGGCTATGTGGCCTCCTTGTTTTAGGTGGGCTCTGGTGCTGTGTATTTTCCAAAACTTTTCTGTCAGACCTAGGTTGGAACATCAAACAGGTCAATGAACCAAGCCAATAATTTATTTAATTCAAGTCACTGCTTCCTGCCTCTGATTAGTTAGATGAGCTTGGATAAAGCTTGTATCTTATGCAACCTACTTGCTTACAAAGCGTGTTGCACAATGCTTATGTTTTCTTGGCCTTTGGAAATTCATGTAGGTTTGCAAAATCATGAACAGAGCAAGTTTAGACTAGAGACTAGAATGAAACATCAGTTTTATAGAATTTAGACTAGTCATAAAGCCAGGCTCCTTAAATACTCTGCCCTTTCAGACCTTGACTGCTCTACTGCTTCTAAGTTTGCACCTTAAATCCTTTGGCGCTGGGGGACAATGGTGAATATTGCTTAGTAAGTATAAGTCTATGCCTATAACCTTAAATCAACATGGAGAAAAAAGAGAAAAAGCATTCTAATGAAGAAAAGTAAATGTGGGCAATTTCTAATCTGATAAATAGTATCTCCCGCCACAGGTTATCAGTCACAAAATCAAAATAAAAGGCTCATCCTGCCAGGGTCTGCTGTTGTCACCAAGATTTCAGAACCACACTGGGCTCATTTGGAATTTTCTCAGATGCAACAGGAGTGAGAAAAATAACAACAATAATGAAAATAAAAACAGCAGCTAGCATCATACTAGGCACCATGCTGAGTGCTTTCACCTGCTTTCTTACGTAATCGCGGCCCCCACCCTAGGAGGTGAGTTGTCGTCATCTTTTTATAGACGAGGAAACTGCTGACACTTGGGGAACCTAAGGAATCCACCCACCGTTGCCCAGTGAGTGGCAGGGCCGGGATTTGCCCCAGGTTTTCTTGGCCCCAGTGAATGTATGTCTGCATTGGTTCCATGGGAACATGTATAAAAGGCTTGGGTTCAATCTCAGCAGCATCACCTGCTTGTAGAGGGACTGTGAGGAAATGTTTTAGTTTCTCTGAGCCTGTTTTCCACCTATAAAATGACAACAATTACTACTTCGCAGGGTTGTTAAAATGACTTGGGAGAATGTACATAAAAGGCTAGCAAAGTACTTGACTCATTTATGACTCCAGTGCCTCCCTGGTAACCAGTGGTGGTGTAGTGTCTCAAACGCTCAGCCAAGCACTGGCTGAAGGAAAGCCAGCAGGTTCTCCAGCACGTGTTCTCCTGGTCTTCTCTCCTTACGATAGCCACTTCAGAGCATTTCCCAGAGAGCTTATTCCTCCCAGACTCATAGATAACTAGGCCCAAGAGGCAGGGACCTTTGAGGATAATCTGTTTTAGTTTTACACCTGTAGAAGTTGAGGCCCAGAATCGCACGCCTGATGTCACCCACGGAGTTTCTTACCAAGCTGAGGACAAACTCTGTTTTCATTCTGTGGCTCCACCCAGAACCAAGAGAATGAGCGAAGATAATATTTTTTTCTCCCTCTAAATGCTTTTCTTTTCATCTTATGCCAAAAGTCTCCACCCCAAGAACTGTCTGGGTGTGCGCCAGTTTGCCGAGACAATGATGTGCGCCGTGCTGTACGATGCAGCTAACAGCTTCATCCACCAGCACTTTGTGGAGGTGTCCGTGTCAGAAGAGTTCCTGGCCCTGCCCTTGGAGGATGTGCTTGAGCTGGTGTCTCGGGATGAGCTGAATGTCAAATCAGAGGAGCAGGTGTGTAGAGCACAGTCTTGGCTGGGATGTGACGAATGAAATGCTTCTCTTTTTCTAATCTGTTTTGTAATAATCCTTTTTGCAAAGATCATGATGTATATGCAGCTGTGTATCATGGAGTTTGTTTTGTTGTATCATACGCATTTTTTCATGAAAACGTTGTATAATTTTAGTATTTAAATAAGATTCCATTGATTTTTATCCACCCTAATTTCCTTATTCTTGGATGCTTGGGTTATTTCTAATACTACTATTAGAAATATTCTGCTGTGAACTGGAAATAGCAAGTAAAGATAACGTTTTGAAAGAGCCTTGTTTTAAAGAAGAGCAGAGCATGGGGCAGTTGCTTGAGGGGAAAGTGAAGTCAAGAGGGTTTTGTTTTTGTTTTTTTGTTTTTTTTTAAGGTGGGAGAAATTATAGTATATTTGACTGCTAATGGGAATTTTCCAGAAGAGAGGGAAGAATTGGTAATGCAGGAGAAAAGAGGGAGTAGTTGCTGGAATGATGTCCTGGAATGAGTGAGAAGAGGCAGGGTCTAGGGCCCAGGGGTGTGTGTCTTTGATAGGAACCCAGACTGTTCATCCACCACAGCACCAGGAGGGAGAGCCGAGTGCACACACCCAGGTGAGCAGGGAGTGGAGGGGTGCTGGTAGGTGCTTATGTAGGTGTTTACTCACGCTCTCTTCTGATTTGTTTCTGTTTTCTCAGCTGAAAGTGAGGATGAGGGAGAAGTGTTAGAAATTTGAGGAGAGATGAAAAGGTGTGAAGTCATCCTTTAGGAGAAAACCAAAGCAAAACCCGTTGCTGTTGAGCCGATTCCGATTCATAGCGACCCTATAGGACAGAGTAGAGGGGGAGAGTAAATAGACGATGCTAGGGACATAGAGGGGGCTTGATAGGAAGCAGAGCTTACCTGAGATGAGTAGTCACGAGTTTAAAGTAAACTGGTCAGCTCTGTTGTGTGTTCCTGTCAGCCATATTCAGCTCTACTGTTGCAGGTACAGAGTAGGGAGTGACTTGAATTTAAAGAGCTAAACTTCACCAGGGTAGAGATTTTTTTCCAGGGGTGTGTGATTGAGGGAAAGGGGAGCATTTTATTGAGATGCAGACAGGAATAAGAAACCACTGATGGGTTTTCATTAGGATGTGATCATGAAAACTAGAAAGCTGCTACAGCAACCTCAGCTCAATTTCAAGAGACTGGACCAAACAGAGTAGCTGGGGCAGCGGAGAGAAAGCAGTGGATTCAGGGATCAAGTAGGAGGAAAGATGGATGGGCCCAAGGGACTGCCTCAGTGTAGAAGTGGGGGTTTGAGATTAGGGAGTGCAGGGTGTGGCCTCTGGTTGGGAGGAGTTGCTACTGTCAGCCAGAGCTTCACCTCTGTCTTGGCAGGTCTTTGAAGCTGCACTGGCCTGGATCAGATATGACCGGGAGCAGAGGGGGGCCTGCCTGCCTGAGCTGCTGTCCAATATCCGCCTGCCTCTCTGCCGACCCCAGTTCCTGTCGGACCGAGTGCAGCAGGATGACCTGGTGCGTTGCTGCCACAAATGCAGGTGAGCAAGGGTGGACCTGCATAGTGCGCTGCCAAGAGCTGGGCAGAGAAGAGAACTTGGCAGTTCGGCCACTTCTGCTCCAGCTCAGCGGGGGAAGGACTTGGAGTAGTCAGTGTAATTCATGGCACAAGGACTGCCCTCTATCTAGAACATGGAAGAGGAAGTGTTCAGAGCCACATCTTGTACCTTAGGCAGAGAAGTGTGCCATATAGGAGCATCAAGGCAGAAGAGGATCCCCCCTCCCCAACCAAGTTTGAGGATTTTCTAGCATCTTCATCCATTGAGCTGTTTATGAAGCTCCAAGCCAATACATTCTGCTTGCCCGGACCCTGTCCACACCAGGAGCTGACTTGGTGGTACAAATATGACTTCCTGGGGCTTCTTCCCCTCCTCAGTAAATATTAGTAGCCTGGTCTCAGGTGGGTGCAGGGCTCTGCATCCACAGTGATGGGCAGGAGGGAAAACACGTTTACCAGCACGTTAGCCTTTAACCAGAGTAGATCAATGAGAACATGGCAGAGCAGACCTACCAAGACAGTTCAGAAGATGGTGGCTCTGTAGGAGAATTGTTAAATAAGTAGATCAGCAGAGAAAAATGTTCATCCTCCTTCACATTGCTTGTCATATTCACAGCAATGAAATATTTTTTTCTCCTTTGCTGGCACAATTTTACACATATTTGGATATCTTCTTCATTTTCCCAACTCTAGCAGTATTCAGATGGCACAGAACTGGGCAGTGTTCCGTTCTGTTGTACATGGGGTAGCTGTGAGTTGGAACTGACTCGCCAGCACCTATCAACAACAGCAACAAAGGAGTGCGAAGGTCTGTGTCAGGAAGGGGCAGTGGAGGTGTGACTGGAGGTGGCTGGGGCCCTGTGACGAGCAGTCTTGAGGGCACCGTAGAAGAGTTTGAACTTTATTCTGTAGCCAGTGGATTGCTATCAAAGGTTCTTCAGCAGGGTGCAACATGGTGCATATAGAAAGACAACTCGGATGGTGGCGTGGAGGGAGGTAGCTGGAGGCAGGGGACTCCATGAGGAACTGTTGACTGCTGCTGCCACTGTCCGGGGGTGAAATGGTTAATGGTAAGGTCACAAGGTATGAGCTATGGTGCAGTCATAGGGAGAAGGAAGGGCTGGATCTGAGTGGAGACAGGATGCAGGCTGCTTGACGAACTTCCCCGAAGCCAGCCATTTTAGCCACCACCCTTTTTTCTCATGTCTGGTATGTGCCTGTTCGAGGATAGTCGTTTTGATTCCACCAGCCAAGGTGGAATCTGCTTGTCTTGCCCTCCACTTTTGAGCATGCCTCAGCAGCCGTCTGTGGCTTCCCCAGAACTCACCTGAGTTCTTTGAAACCAAACCTTCCAGAAAGCTTCTCCTTCCAGGATTCCCCTGCAGTTGGGGAGTGGGGAGCCAGCCTTGGACAGTGCAAATGTGGGCCACATGGGAAGGATACTTGCCATCCTTGCATCTTGCACCTCATTCCAGGGACCTGGTAGATGAAGCAAAGGACTATCACCTCATGTCAGAGCGCCGGCCCCACCTGCCAGCTTTCAGAACTCGACCCCGCTGCTGTACGTCCATGGCTGGGCTTATCTACGCTGTGGGCGGCCTCAACTCAGCAGGTATCTTGCAGCTCCCCTTTGCAGAGCACTGGCTTGGACTTGGTGGATGAAGGGACACCAAACAACCTAGCCTAGCCCTTCTGGTTCCTCTCCTTGGTGTGTCATCACCCTTGCCCCTTTTGATTTTATGTAATTGTTCCTCAGTTACAGCGTATCAGGTATTAATACCATTGATTTAGAATATCAGTGCTAAAGGCTGTCGGCTTTTAGAGATCCCTTACTTTACAGATGGGGAGATTGAGGCCCAGAGAACTTTCCCCATGTTCACACAAATTGTTTTGGCAGAGTAAGGACTAGAACTTGGGTGTCGTGGTGCCTGAGCCAGCCCATTTTCCCTAACATCACACTAGCTCACAGCATTCACTCTGCTCTGGGTGGGACACAATTGGAAACCCAGTTCCCTTACCAGGCCAGACACAGTTGGTTATATGACTTTTGAGTTAGACTGTGAGAATGTCACCATTAGAAGAAAGATTCTCCAAATACACAGAACTTTCCACTGTCAACAGTACTTTTCACTCACCTCCTCTCCTGTGACACACAGATGCTTTACAATCCATGTGTAATTGGCAGCCCTTGTATCATACAGGCAGGTTTTCAGGAAAGCTCCCTGGGGTCCCCTCCCCTCCTCCCTGTCCCAGGGCAGTAGAGGCTTAGTAGAGAGGGCAATGTGAACATCTGAATCTTCAATTCATTGACATAAGGAGTTGCTATTTCTGATGTCCATCCAGTGTCCATCTAGGTTTGTATAGAGGTGAGGGAGCTGGTGAACAGTCCTGGGCAGTTTTGCTTTTAATTGAAGGTATGTAGGGAGGGTAATGTTGGGCAGTGGAATATTGGACCAGGAATAAAGCAAGGTGGGTTCTGATCTCTGCTACTTGTTAACCTTATGACCTGGAAAAGGTCAGTCCTCAACTAAAGTTGAGGCAGGTGCTGATACGTGTCCCAAAGCAGAATAAAACAAGGAGGCAGTTATCTCATTTGATCTTCACAAAAAAAAAAAAAAAAAATGATGAAAAAAGAAGGGCTGCAGTGATCATTTTTCCTTGCTGTGACAACTGCTATTTATTGAGCACTCAGTGTATTTCAGGCTCCTAGGTGGTGCAGATGGTTTGCGCTTACCTACTAACCTAAAGCCTGGTGGTTCAAACCCACCCCACCTGGCAATCTGCTTCCATAAAGATTACAGCCAGGAAAACCCTATGGAGCTCAGTTCTACGTTGTAACACGTGGGGTTGCCATGAGTCGGAATAGATTCAACTGCAACAGGTTTGGTTTAGTGTATTTCAGAACCATGCTAGATGCTTTATTTACGTCATTTAATCCTCAGAACAGCTCTGCAGTAGAGATTATCTCCATTTCACACTCGAGAACAGAGGATCGAGGACACCTGCTAGTAAATGAGAGTGGGCAGCGGCATCTGTGCCGTTCCCTCTGGGCATGCCTCCTGCATGGGGGGAAACAGTGTGTTGACTTGCATTCATCTTGGCTCAGAGATAGAGAACTTGAGTGTAACTGAGAACTGCCCTCTTTAGAAAGTACTATCTGCTGTCTGATTCTGATTTTCCATAAAGAATTGGGTTTAGGGTTATCATGACTAAAATTTCTTAATGGGTCCTTTTGTTTTGACTGATTCTGTGGGAAGAGCTGATAGAGTCAAGTCAAATGTTCCCAATAATCAGTGCCCAATAACTGCAATCCAAACATGTGGCCTCCTGGGTTTTAATTTGAGTAGCAAATTTTTATGCAGGTGATTCCCTGAATGTGGTGGAAGTGTTCGACCCCATCGCCAATCGCTGGGAGAAGTGCCATCCCATGACCACAGCCCGCAGCCGCGTGGGCGTGGCCGTGGTGAACGGGCTTCTCTACGCCATCGGGGGATACGACGGCCAGCTACGGCTGAGCACCGTGGAGGTCTACAACCCAGAGACGGACAGCTGGACCAGAGTGGGGAGCATGAACAGCAAGAGAAGGTATTCTGGAAGCCATTTGTGCAGCCCGGACATATACACTGAGCCTCTGGGGAGCACCGTGCTAGACGAGCAGGGCACATAATAAAGTAAAACCCAGGCTTTGGCCTGGGAATTTCCTGCAGCCAGGCCAGCCACTGCCGGCACCTCCTGGGAGCAAGCCCCCACCTGCCTAAAAGAAAAATACCTGCCTTGCCCTCTGAGGAACTTGGGGAGACGAGATGTGGAAGTTGTATTGTTACATAAGTGCCAGATAAGGACTGAAAATATGTGTTGTGGAAGATTTGAGGAGGAAAACAGGGCTAGAATGTCTGGAAGATTTCAGAGAAGAGGTGGGGTTCAAGTTGAAATGTGAAGAATAAGGAGGATTTAACTTTATTAGAGATGAAAGGAAATCCAAGATTTTTTTCTATATACTTCCCCCTGGGCCCCTGCCACATGTGTGCCTTCACTACCCGGGGATTATGTGAACCAAAGCAATGTTCTTTACTTCAGGGTCAGCACACATGCCCCCAGGCCTGGAGCACATAGGTATTTGCAGGGCAGACTAAGTTTATGCATCACTTAATACATGTCAGCTGCTTCTTTCCTCCACCACTTGCCCACTCCCATTTCCTGTATAAGAAGTGGGAGTAGAGGACATCCAAATAGTGCCTCCATTTAGCCTTCTGAGTGCTAAAGTGACAGGCAGCATCTTTCCTTATGTTATACGTGTGGTTGAATAATTACGTGCTTGGGCAGAGTGAGCTTTGGAGGACTCAAGGGTTTTAACTGACAAGTTCTGTGGTTCCTCTGCCCTCAGCAAGCCTGCGCCAGATCAGGGGTTTCAAGTGTCACTCTCTTCAGAGGACTGACATAGGAGCAAAGCAATCCAAGGCCCCCTGCCAATCTAACCAGAAGCTCTGCATTTAGCTCTTTTGCGTATTAAGTTTCCTTGACGTGTGCCCAACTTTAGAGGAAAAAAAGTTATGTGAATTTTAGAAAAGGAGGGAGGGTTTGAAAACCACCAGACCAGATGGTCTCTAAGGGCCTTTCTGCTTTGAATTCTGTGATCTCAGCACTCACCTCTTTGCCTGACCATGCTTCATGTCCTCTATTTGTAAGATCAAGTGACTGCTCATGATGGTGAGAAAAAGTTAGTGTGAAAGTCCTTTGCCACATACAAGTGTAATGACGATGACACACATTTTCCATACTCAGCAATGTTAGTATGTGGTCATGGGCGGGAAGAATCTGCTGTTGTACCAATAAGACCAGACTGACAAAGTGGGTTCTGTTCTGGAAGAAAAAAATTATGTATATATAGAACCTGCTTCTCCCATGTGCTAACACTCTTGTGGTTCTTTCCTCCCACCACCCCCACCTTGGTGCTTCCTCCTTCCTGTTCCTTGGATGCTTTGCAGCTTTCTGTGGTGGTAAATTTTGGTGGCATTGCTCCATATCCCCAACCCTGAATGGCTTTATTCCTTTGACTGCAATCAGTTGTCCTTCCCTGTGTGTCTGCTCTAGGCCACTTGCTCACCTTGATGTCCCTGGGTTTGGAGTGTTGTCTGGGAGGAGCGTCCTCTGGGTATTCCTTTCCCTCGCTGTGGTTAATGCTGTGTTATTAGTAGCGTGAGCCCTGCTCCATTTAACCCCCTGTAAATATAGGCTACCTTAGAATGTTCTTAGTCATTTCTCTCCTAACACCCCACATAGCTGTCCCTCCTGACAGTTGGTGACAAACTCCTTCCTGCTGTCTCTTTCCTTCCCCTCTCCTCCAGTCTCCCAGACCACTTCCAAGAAGCTCTCTCACACTGGACTCTTCCAGCCCACACTGATCACTGTCCCCTTATCTCTTCACACTTTTCTTTACCACTTACTTGACAGTTGGTGTCATACAGTTTTGTGGCACCTCTTAATTCTCTCTCATAATATTGTCAAACTCCTATATTATTCCTTAATTTTTATATGTTTGTCTTGTGTCTATGTCCAGAAGGATAGTGAATTCATGATTTTCCCACAGTCCTTGCCTAAGACAAGCCCCCCACCCCACCCCTTCAGGCTGGTTCAGGGTCCATTACCGTGTCTCTCAAAGGGACATTGTACATATCAGATGAGATCATGTGTGGACGCAGTTTGAAAACTGCACATTGACTTGAAAGGTAGCAGTTAGCCTGATAAATACATTTTTCTTCTGCTTGTTCCACACCCAGATTCATTTTTAATCTTCTCCAGCATCAAGTTTGGAAACAGTGAATCAGGCAGCTTGGGATTTGTTTTTAACTTCTCCTGAGGCACTGTGTAGAACAGAAGATTGCCTAGTCCCCCAGGGCCAGGCCCCTGGGTCTTTGATATCAGGAGAGCCCGGCATGGTGAACAGCAGGGGAGCCGGGCTCCTCTCTGAGCAGCCTGTCTGTACAGTGGTGATGATCGATCATACTTCCTTCTTACAGGGAGTGGTGCAGGTTGCAAATGGCACATGTGGAGCACCTGACGCATGTAGTAAATGCACAGTACGTAGGAGCTGTGGCATCACTTGCTAAGACAAATTAAGGGACCATGCAGGGCCATGTGTGTAATGAAAAGGCGTCTGTCAAACTTGATGGTGAATTGAATGGTTAAATCAGGAGGTAGTGCAACAAACATGTATGGAGGGCCTAAGCTGCACTAAGCGCCTCCAGGGTTCACAGATGAGGAGCCTTCCCTGCCTTCTAGGAGGCCTCCACCTGTTGAGAGGTGGCACACAGATTCTGAGACCCCGTGGTGCCAGAGTGTAAGCACCTTGTGGGCAGGGACATTGAATTGCTCACCACTCCAAACCTGTGCCTTCGACAGCGCACCTTGCAATTGCCTAATGAAAATTCGTAGTTGGCTGGATAAGCAACCATGATAAATGCTGGAATAAAGAAAGAAGCCTCTCTGGGGGTGTGGGGTCAGGAGAGAGTAATTCTTAGTGACAGATCAAGAACTGAGAGGAAGGGATGAAGGAAGGGAGCCCAGGATGGGGACTTGGGGGACCAGAAGAATCACAGGGAAGCTTCTGTCACCTCTGTTTTCCACCTTTACTTGGTCACATACCTGGGATTTAGATCTGTTCTAGAAAGAGGGAGTTGATGGATAGGTTTGTTTTTTGGTGAGCCAGGAAGTCTGAGGACCGTCTGGGGTGACAGCTCTGTCTCTTGCAGTGCCATGGGGACAGTCGTGCTGGACGGACAGATCTACGTCTGTGGGGGCTACGATGGCAACTCCTCCCTCAGCTCTGTGGAGAGCTACTCACCTGAGACAGACAAGTAAGGATCGTAGCTCCCCGGGGCACGTGGGACTTCTAAAACAGAGAGTATGGAACACTAGAACGGCATTTTTTATTTACACTTCTCAAGGGTAGAGAATGCCTTACCTTTTTAGCCCCTATAGTACCTTGCATGTAATAGGTATTTTAAAAACAAATAGACTACATAGATACTTGAAAACATTTATTTAATGGACTCTTAGCTAAATCAGCCCATTTTAATGTAAATACAGATGAGAGGGTCCGAGAAATAGATGAGCAGCATTTTCCATAGTGGAGTAGGATATGATTTGGGGGAGAAAAGTTAATATGGTCAAGTAAGCTTGGGAAATGAAGACTATACCACCAGAATTCTTGTTCTTCCCATCATACATGTTAACATTTTAAAGGCTCTGGAAAATTCTGCAGTAAAGAAACCTGTTTAATGTTTTATATAACCCGTAACCATTGCCATAGAGTCAGTTCCAGCTCATAGCGACCCTATAGGACAGAGTAGAACTGTCCCATAGGGTTTCCAAGGAGTGGCTGGTGGATTCGAACTGCCGACCATTTGGTTAGCAGCCAAGCTCTTAAGTACTGTGCCACCAGGGCTCCAATGCTTTATATAGTATCCATTATTATCTTGTAGAATTAGTATTTTGTGGAAAACACTGGTAAGATTAGCCCATTTTTCATTTCAGTACGTTAAATCTTCTGATACTATGTACTAAAATATAAGCAAATAAGTTGAATAGATTTATCAGCGTGCTTTTAAGCCAATACCATTCAATTCACTTAGCCAGCTCACTCTCGGGCAGTGAGCTGGGTGTCCGAGGTCCATACGTAGTGCCCAGTCTAGTAGGGTCACAGGTACATCATGATCATCTTACCCTGGAGACCTGTGTCCAGAGCTGCTGGGCTCAGAGTAGGGAGTACCTTCATCGTCCTTGAGGTTGGGCAGAGAGGCACGGTGGAAGGGCATCTTCTGAGGTAAGATCCATATGGATGTACTTTGGGAACCATGCATTGTAGGCAGGGAGATGGCAAGCAGAGCAGCTCAGAGATGAGAAAGTGCTCGGTGTGATGGAGGACAGCAGTCATCATCTAGTGGGCAGGAGCACAGGGCGTGGAAGGGATACAGGGCAGGCGTAGGTGGCATGTGTCCAGGATGAAGCTGGGCAGTAGATATGGGCCAGGTGGTAAAGAACCACATCGAGGAACTTGGGCTCTGCCTTCAGGTAAACATTGAGGAGCCCTGGGAGGGATGCAGTGCAGGACTGCATTTGAGAGTGATGCCTCTGGCTGTGCGGGGTCAGGGTGGGAATGGTACGAAAGCTAGACCATCTTTAAGGAAGCAGTTACAGCGGTCTGGGCAACAGACTAGAGCTAGGGCGGTGGCAGTGGAGATGGGAACAAGCGATGACTAGGAGTCAAGCCAGTTGGGACTTGGTGACCACAAGAATGTCGAGGCTATGGGAGAAGAAGCCAAAGAAAACACTGAGTTTTATTGTTACAGCAATGAGATAGCTGGTGGTCTGTTAACAAGGCCAGGGAGTGCAGGGAAAGAACAGATCTGTAGGAGCACGAGGTCTTGTTTGGGGTGTGCTGATTTTGAGTGCCCACGGCAGCGAGCCGAGAAGGTTGGCTGCGGACTCGAAGCTAGAGTGAGGGGCAGCGACCAGAGAGAGCAGTGAGCAGAGGTGGTGGGGGGGTGACAAGAGTGGAGGAGATTGTCCAGGGCACGAGGGAACACAACACAGTTCACCCAAACCCTGCTCTGCAGTCGTGGGAGGACAGGAACACCGGCTCTCATGCCTCCTCTCCTATTTTGGCTCTCTCCTGAAGGTGGACAGTGGTGACCCCGATGAGCTCAAATCGCAGTGCTGCTGGGGTTACGGTCTTTGAGGGCAGGATATATGTGTCGGGAGGCCACGACGGCTTGCAGATCTTCAACAGTGTGAGTCTGGGCTCCTCCTGGGCTCAGGGCACCTCCTCCTTCCATCTTAAGAGTTATTTTGAAAGAAAATTGTCTGAAAAAAAGTCAGCCTTGCCATTGCTGGACAGAGCGTCATCTAGTGAGGTTTCAGGTCATATACCGCATGCTCTGAAATTGTTAAGTTCTGGAGAAAGGGTGCCAGTGTACACAGTACCTAAAGGGAGGGGTAAAGCTTAGCCATGCCACCACCACTACCCTGTTCAGTGTCCATCGTGGGCTGATGAGACCTTGTGAAACCCCTGCCCAGAGTAATCTCAAACATGGAGCGTGAATTTGCAAATACCTATGTTCTGGATAATTTGCTTGAAATTGCATTTTTTCTCTAAAATGGCTCAACAGCCACTGAGTGGTGGTTCCGTCAAGTCAGCCAGTACTATGGTGGAAAGCCTCCTGGACAGATTTCAGGAGACCCGGCTCGTGCTGGCTGTGTCACTGCATGGCAGTGCATCCTTGGGCAAATCCTCTTTAGATGGAAACAGAAGGGGTCAGATTAGCAGCTCTCTCACCTGTCCCTGTAAGCCCCTGAACAGGTGTGCAGCTGGCAAAGCTCCTCATCCTAGGCCACCCATGGAGTCTGACACCATGTGGGCCATTGCGCCCTGCAAGGCCACCCCAAGCACTAAGCGTTGGCTCTGACTGTCCTGTCCCTGTGCCTCTCTCCCTGCTGTAGGTGGAGCACTACAACCACCACACGGCCACCTGGCACCCGGCAGCAGGCATGCTCAACAAGCGCTGCCGGCACGGCGCTGCCTCCCTGGGAAGCAAGATGTTCGTCTGCGGGGGCTACGACGGCTCTGGCTTCCTCAGCATCGCCGAGATGTACAGCTCGGTGGCAGACCAGTGGTGCCTGATAGTCCCCATGCACACACGTCGGAGTCGCGTCTCCCTTGTGGCCAGCTGCGGGCGCCTGTATGCTGTGGGGGGTTATGATGGACAGTCGAACCTCAGCTCGGTGGAGATGTATGACCCAGAGACAGACCGCTGGACATTTATGGCCCCCATGGCGTGTCATGAGGGAGGGGTTGGCGTGGGCTGCATCCCCCTCCTCACCATTTAAGGCAGACGGTAGGATGTGGAGGGGTAGGGATCTGATACAAACATAGGCGCTTCCTTCCAGGAGCAGTCCCTCTCAGGAGAGGCAGTGGACCAGAAGATGGGGTGAACTGAGAGCTTGCCAGAGGCACGGTTTTTCCAGGTGCTTACGCCCTCCCTCGCTGTGCTGCCCTTGTGACCTTCAGCCTAGGTCATAAAGATGCACAGCATGGGATGAAGCCCCTCCAGGGCCTGGCAGCTTGTGACACAGAGCTGCTCTGCTGGTCCACACCTACACAATCTCCGTGCAAGCCCAGCTCCCACCCGCCACAGCAGTGTGGGCCAGCCACTTACTGACCTTCCTCCTTGCCTGCTTGTTGGCTAGCCCTGTCGTGGCCGGTTTGCCATGGGATGACTGCAGTGGCCAACCCTGTTGGAAACAGTAGGGTGTGGCTGGGAGAGGAAGTCCACATGGTGACGCAGCCACTGCCGTGTGCTGGGTACACACCGCATACTCCTTCTGCTGTAGGGCATAAAGGGTTTGTCCTCACCCCGAGGTGAGCAGGAGAACAAAAGTTTCCCTGTGGCTAATTGTGGGATTTGAGGGAGGTTTTTTTTTTTTTTTCCCATCTTGTTCAGGAGAAACAGAAAAAGGAAAAAAAGATACTTGAAAGAAAAAGAAGGAAAATGAAACAGACACTTGAAAGAAACTGGAAAGAAAAATACTTTTTTTTAAGTGAACTTTTTTCCAGGAAGAAAAAAGTATCAAAGACACTAAAGGCAAATACATGTTTAAATGGAAAACTGCCAGATGTGAAAAGGGCAGCATCCACTCCCACCTTCGGATCCCAGGGTCCTGAGGCCTGACGCAGCACGTGGGGTTCCCTCTGAGCCTCAGTGTGTCTGGAATCAGTGCATTCTCGACTGGTCCTGTAGCAGGGTGCTCATGGGGTTTGTCTTCATACCCATTGTCAGAGGACTTTTTTAACCACAGATGCAGCCAGTCTGCTGAATTACTTCCGCTCTTCTTGGCGAGAGCTCCCAGCTCGGCGCTGGAGTTCCAGAGGCTGCCATGATTACCTCCCACTGCCACTGCAGCGCTCATTCCGATTCCCCACTTTCATTTCTCCCTTTTTTGACCAGCAGGAAACAGCAGGTCTGGCCAGATTCTTACTTTCCCATCAATTGTTCTTGCATCATTTTCCCCATTTTGATGCTTCTGGGGCACATTGACCACTTGTACCTCTAGAACCTAACCAGGGGCGTGCTCCTTCTACCAGCCACGAGCTGGCTTCGTCCAGTAACCTCGTCTGCCCTGCCAGTCCACTGCTCCTCCATCCACATGCCAATTCCAGGGGTCTGGCCTCCCTCCGGCCCCTGGCAGACCAACCAGCAAGGTGGACCTTTAGAGTCTTATCAAAGCTGGCTTTACAACATAAAGGACTGAAGGCCGAAAGAATCTCTTGCTGCTGCAAAGAACAGTGTTTTATATTTCTTCCTCTAACCTTAGCAGATGACATGTTGAAGGGACTCCATGCTCTTTGCTCCTGTTCCTCCTCCCTTGGTGGGACCTTGATGTAGCACAGTGGGGCCCCAACAAGAGGACAGTTTCCATTACAAGTGCATTGGGCACTGGGGCTGTCTTCAGCCCTCCAGCTTCTGTAATCGAGCCAGGACAAGCTGGAGAAAGACCATTGTAAAGTCTGTGGTGTACTTCGGGCCTTTTTCCTTCAATTGCTGCTGCCAAAATCTGGTTTTATAAAATTTTCCCAGCAGAGACTAAAGGAGGAAATGATTCCTTTAACCCAAGGATGGGTTTTAGGTTCCCCACTCTACGTCTGGTTGGCCTCCACTCCTCTGCTGGGGTGGCCCGGAAGCCTGTTCAGAAAGACACTCTCCGGATCCTGGGGAGGCACTCGTGCCCCAGGTCCTTCAGGTTTCCCAGTGTGTGCAATCGCCATGCATTCAAAGGAAAGGACGTTTGTTGACTGAAACTTAGGAGCTGGACCTCTGCTACAAGCACTTGAAAATGATATTTTTTATTTTAAAAGACTCAACAATCTGATATAGTCTAACCTGGGCTCAGGTGGAGCTCTGGCATTTCTCACTGTCTCCTCCAGCCGTCCTACACACGTGTTTCCCTTGTGCTGGATTTGCCTACAGAGGTAGACTCGGCTCTGTGCTTCCTGTTAGAGAGGAGTGTATTAGTGTTCGTCTTATCATAAGCTCCTTCCTTTTGTGAATTTGAAGCAGCACTGACAAGCCTCAATTGCAGAGGTGTTAAGAATCAATCAGTGGGCTACTGAGTGGACCTCACTAGGTCCTTTTGATGCCTGCCCCAAATTTTGCAATTGGGGATAGATCGATCATGTTCCCAGGGGCTGGAGCTCTATTCTTGGAGTAGTCTTCCTGAGGCCGCTCCCACCCTCCCACCTCCTAGTGTAGGAGTTACACTGCTGTACCTGAGGTCAGGGTTTCCAAGTAGATCAAGCCTCCGGGCTCCGAGCACAAATGAGCAAACATTTCTCTTATTGATTCCTCAGTCTAATGGTGAATGACTCTTTGCTAATGGCTGGTCTGGCTCTTTGGTGTTGAAACCTTTCTAGTAACATCATTTAAAGAAGAGGCATCACCCTAGGATGTTGTAAAAAGAGGAGGACAGACATTGCGCTCAGCAGGCCCTAGGGTCTAGCCCAGCTCTGAGCAGAGGACTGATGTCCACTGTACTTGGGCATTTCCCCTTCTTGGATGACGCATGGAGCCTTCTGGGTTTTGCCTAAGATCAAATCCAGGATGGTTGCTGAAGACCAGCTTTATGACTTGACCACAGAGGTGTGACTAGGTAGGAAATCTGTCTTCCTCCCCAATTTATTGTTTCCCAGAAAAATCTTATCTCCTTTATTTATAAAATGCATGTCTTTTGTGTTAAGAAACCAAAGAGAAATAAAGAGAACACTCCTAATATCTTCTTGCCCTTCCTTGATTTTAATTTTATTGTGATAAAATATAAACTACAAAACATTTGCCATTTTGACCTTTTTATGTGTACAATTCAGTAACATTAATTATGTTCACCATGATATGCAACATCACCACTGTGTTTCCAGATTTTTTCATCACCCTTAACAGAAACTCAGTACCGTGTAAGCAATAACTCCTCCTTTTCCTTTCCCACCTGCCCCTGGTAACCCTAATAAACTTTGATCTCTGTGTATTTGCCTCTTCTTGATATTTCATGTAAGTTGGATCATACAATATTTTTCCTTTTGTGTCTGACTTATTTCACTTACTATAATGTTTCCAAGGCTCATCCGTATCGTGGCATGTATCAGGACTTCATTTCTCTTTATGACTGAATAATATTTCATTGTATGTGTATTACCACATTTTGTTTATCCAGTTATCTCTTGATGGACACTTGGGTTATGTCCACACATTTTTAAATTTATTTTTCTAAATATTAGAAGTAAACCAGGTCCCTAGATAATGCAAATGGTTTGTGCTCAGCTGCTACCCTAAAGGTTGGCAGTTCAAACCCACCCAGTGATACTGCAGAAGAAAAGTCCTGACGATCTGGTTCCATTAAGATTACAACCAAGAAAACCCTATGGACTGAATAAGTAAAGCATTACTCAAGAAAAAGAGCAAAGCGGGAGGCCTCACACTACCTGATTTTAGAACCTATTATACTGCCACAGTGGTCAAAACAACCTGGTACTGGTACAACAGCAGATACATAGACCAATGGAACAGAATTGAGAATCCAGACATAAATTCATCCACCTATGAGCAGCTGATAGTTGACAAAGGCCCAACGTCCATTAATTGGGGAAAAGACAGTCTCTTTAACAAATGGAGCTGTCATAACTTGATATCCATCTGTAAAAAACGGAAATAAGACCATACCTCACGGAGTTCCGGCAAAATGGCGCTCTAGGCAAAAGCACCACCCCGTCCCTCCACAGCAAAGATCCGAAAAACTAAGCCAAACAGAATACAACAATCCTGAAACCTTAAAACATCAAATGAAGAGATAAAGAACTCAGCCAAGCACCAAATGGAGTGAGAAAACTGACAGAGAACAGAGAGCGAGGAGAGATTCATGCAGAGGTCCCCTACCAGCTAATGCAGCTCGGATCCGCCATCTTGGACTTCTATCGGAGACCAGCAAATGGGGTACGAGAGAGCAGCCTCACGGAGCGTCCAGTGGGAGACAAAACAACTGGTAATTTGCGACATATGCTTTCCCACCCCCCACCCCTCTTCACCCCGACTCAGCCGCCTCTGCTTCCCGCAGCCTCAATCTCTTGACCGGGAAACACCAGCTGCTTGGATTCCACACACCCGAACGGGCGGCTCTCTGAGTGCCATTTGTTGGCTGCTGCTGTTGCTTTTTTCTGCTTCTTTTGATTTCTTCCTTGCCTCTCGCCACCTCCCCCTCCTTTCGCTCGAGTACCTTGTTCCATGCACCATCTTTGCTTCTTCCTGAGGGGCTGCAGAGCGCCGGTAATTTGTGATATACGTTTTCCCACTCTCTACCCTTCTCCACCCACACTCGGCCCCGTCTGCTTCCCGCGGACACAGTCTCTTGTCCAGAAACACCAGCCTGCACTAGCTGGCTCTATGAGTGCCATTTGTTGGTTGCTAGTGTTGCTTTTTTTTTTTTCTGCTTCTTTCGATTTCTTACTTGCCTCTCGCCACCTCCCCCTCCTTTCGCTCGAGTACCTGGCTCTGTGTGCCATCTTTGCTTCTTCCTGACGGGCTGCGGAGCTCCATTCGAGTGTGGAGCTGCTTCCCGGTTTGGGCTACCGCGCTGGTAGGATCCCGGGGCTTTTGTGCGTTTGTTTCTTTTGAATTGTTTGTTTTCTTTTCCTTTTCTTGAGTTGGGAGCCCTTTCTGG